CCACATGGTTACCTGTTATGTATGTCTAGTCCACATGGTTACCTGTTATGTATGTCTAGCCCACATGGTTACCTGTTGTGTATGTTTAGTCCACATGGGTACCTGTTGTGTATGTCTAGTCCACATGGTTACCTGTTGTGTATGTCTAGCCCACATGGTTACCTGTTATGTATGTCTAGTCCACATGGTTACCTGTTATGTATGTCTAGAAAATTGATGCTGTTTGTCTGGAATGTTTGTGTCAAGAACTTGCACTGATTTTCCGTTAAACCACATGAGGGTATTTGACCTCCTAAAATGCTTTTTGAGTCACAAAATGACATTATTTATGCTTGATTTTACCTCACTAACTAACGTCTGGTAACAACACTGATGTAAGTTACCTAACAAATATGAACATTACAGAACCTACAAGACTAGCAAATTACAGATGAGGAATTTCATATGATGGTCTGAACATACACACATGGTAATTTACTTAGATGTTTTCAATCTGAGATGTGTATTGGTTGAGCACCTCTACGTAGCAATAGACATCATACAGAAAAAGTTCATAAATGTTGAAATTTTCAAGAAAGTTTGCAGTAGAACCAGCATGATAAGAGATTTTAAAATAAGGGTCTAACAAATTAAATAGGTGTAACAAACAGATTGAAAATAACAATTTTTCATGCATGATAAACCCTAGGAAATAAAATGTTAACACAAGTACAAAAGCAGCACTAGCAGATATCTAATACCTTAACACCAAAACACAAAGCTATGAAGTAAACAAAGCATAAACGTTTAATAGGATTTCTTACAGTTTTTATCTCCTTAAGAATACCAGAGGTGAACTGGACAAGAACTTTATACTAAAAGTTTATTTAAACACAGTCAAACAAAAATTGCCATATTTATGATTGTTATGTCAATCTTGCTTAGTCCTTCAAAATAGGAAATAACTACAGCATATCATCAACCATTGTTTAAGGGCTTTTAACTTATTTTGCCTTTAATAACATGACATGACTGCCCTGACAAGAAGGCAGATTGTCCGTCATAACCAAACATTCTGGTCAGATTGTCCGTCATAACTAAACAATGTAGTGCTTAGCACTTTCACACTGATTCCAAGAAAAAGACAAACCTTTGACAAATACAATTGAAATTGGCAGTGATGAAATGTAAGGATTTCTGTCGCACATACAACACTGAAATAAACACCAATATTGATTCCGAGCTGTTTTGAACAGAAATTATTCAGTGAATCAACGAGCACACATTGAACACTTTGGTGACAAAGTTTTGAAGTAAAAAGTTGTGTTTAAGACATTATCTAGTCTATATTACCAATTGTTTGAGACTCTCCTGCTCGAGTTTTGATGGGGCAGTTGTAAAATGTCAATAATGTTTGGACTTATTTTCCTGGTACCATTTAACCAACTAAAATTGATGAGGTTTACTATTGCTTTCTACACATGCTAATCATTGAGAGGCCTGGGCCCGATATTACCACCACATTAGGAGCCAGGTGTCTTTTCCTCATTTTCCTGCAACCGTTCAATTCAAAACAAAAATCAGAAAACAAAAAATAACAATACAATGTAGGATGGTGTTGGAAATCAGGTGCTTAATATTTCACAAACATGCATAGCATCGCCATCATTTGGTGTGATGCCATTTTTGCTACAAAGATGAGAAAAGAACATCTTTCTTGCTTAACATGAATATTTGACACACTAAGGTAGATACTTAACATTGGCATGATCACATGACATTGGCATGATCACATGACATTGGCATGATCACATGACATTACTAGCATTAGATTTTGGATTCACCCGATTTCAGAACGGCTGCTTCTTCTCAAATAATTAGGACCCTTTTTGTTGAGAGAACATGTCGGGCTATATGGGGCTTATTAACTGACTAGACATGCAGTCCTTTATATATGATGAATATTTGATAAGACACTTTCCATAATATTTATATGATTAATGAGTTTCAAAGCTAACTAAAAAGGCAGGGGCTGAGTAATATACCTTGTAATTAGACCAATAGAAAAATGAAGATAAAGAGAGAAGAAAAATGTCAATAAATAATATAAGAAGAAAAAATACAGCATTATATAATCCTAACTGATGTTCATACACATGTAAAATCCTGGTCACACATACTTGTACACATTACATACAGGAACTTGCTATAAAATGTTAACACTTAGGGTGAACTCAGGAACCAAGCAAGTCATACCTGTGTTCCCTTGCAAGGAGGGTGAACTCAGGAACCAAGCAAGTCGTATCTGTGTTCCCTTGCAAGTAGGGGGAGCTCAGGAACCTAGCAAGTCATATCTGTGTTCCCTTGCAAGTAGGGGGAGCTCAGGAACCTAGCAAGTCATATCTGTGTTCCCTTGCAAGGTGGGTGAACTCAGGAACCAAGCAAGTCGTATCTGTGTTCCCTTGCAAGTAGGGTGAACTCAGGAACCAAGCAAGTCATATCTGTGTTCCCTTGCAAGGAGAACATCAAACACAACAGCACATTTTGGCTCCAGGGACCTATCCTGTTAGGTACCCTGGAGGTTGTTATAATTCATCGTTATATTGTGGTATGTACATACATGTGGTGTACAATGTCACTTAACAATCACATAAGTCAATATCAAGTAACATAGCTAACATATTACAAATTATTAGTATTTCACAAAACATAAACTGAAATAATTAACAAACAACAAGTAACTTATATTTCACAAACACCAACTCTTACATTAAAGTAGCAACCATGACATGTACTACAAATGACCTTTATTTCACAAGATAGAAGTTCACTTAAGTAGCATAGTTAAACTGACTTACATACAATCAATACTGACTAGCTCTATATAGCATGGCCAGCTAAATGGGTAGCATGCTACAACGATAAATATCTCTCCAGATGCTACAACGATAAATATCTCTCCAGATGTAGACTTCTATTGACAACATAATGAACAATTACTTATAGACTGAATTTCATAAAAACATAGTGCTGTGTTCAGTTTTAAGTTAGAAGTGCACACGATACATAATGTGATCTAGTTCTATTTGGCTATAGGGTTTGGCTTTGTATACCTTTGTTTGGCTCACAGATCAAAGAGACCGCGGCAAGAGGTATGTGTCAAGCTTTCCCGACGAATCTATCCTATTTGTTCCTCCTTTTGTCCTTGAAGATTTTCGCACACAGTAATTGATATTATTTTTACAATTATACATTTTATAATAAAAGGGTAGTTTCTTAACCCTTTCACCCCTATGTAACTTAGTAGACTCTACAATACATTGATATGGAAAAGTCCATTATGGTCTACAGTGGTGAAAGGGTTAAAGACTAACTTTAAGTTTCTATTTTAACTAGATGACTGGGATAACTAAATATGAACAATGGTAAATTCAATATTTGGCAAAACTTATTTTTTTAAATATCCTAAAGTTCAATAATGCAAGCAGCCTAGTTTCAATATCTGGGATAATGCAGCAACAGAAGAAGCAAACGGTTTCAATCTTGCATGGATTTTTATGTCATTAGCATAATCAACATTTTTAATATTGGTTTTATGAACTTCTGGTCAGAAAAACAATAACCTTGCAGGTTAATGCCTGTTATGTTTTTTTTCACTTTGTTCTGCCTGAAGATTATCGTAATTACTCCATTTACATATAGCTACTTACATGAGAACAGCTTGCAACTTCACTTGGGGGTGATAATGGCCGAGATAAAGGCCAGCGGAGTCTATAGTAAGTAAAACTGTTACCATGCTTGCAAGTTACCTTATCGACTGCATTCTATCTATCTATCTATATGTTATACTCCACAGAGACCATTATATCTATCTATCTATATGTTATACTCCACAGAGACCATTCTATCTATCTATCTATATGTTATACTCCACAGAGACCAAAATGGCTTTAATGGCATTTACTCCAGCCAGTCCAATGTGTTTACATTTTATCTCGTAGATCTAGTAAAGCGCTCATTGGTGGACTGGTAACTGTTATAGAGAATACAGTAATGCTTTTGAAGTAAAATCATAAATATTCTAAGAAAATCATTATCGGATGACCACAGTTGATTGTGCTATACTGATCGACAAGTGTCTATATATATAGCACAATCCAACGATGCCAGAAATATACTGAAACAGAATCTATCGTGTGTGTTACACAGAATTTACACAGGACTTTGTGTACGTATAGCTCTGATAAACTAACAGGTTGACACTGAAATAAGTGGAGACAGTATTACACATGATACGCACAGTAAACAACAACAAGAGTAACGCGGGGCGGAACAATATAAGCCCGTCAAATGCCATATAGTGTTATATACTTTCTTCCATTGAAATAAGATCTGCATCATTCTAAAAGTGGTTAGCTGACATGCTATAAAAAATGTAGAAGCAAATCTCTGGACAAAAAATCAAATACTGAAATGAACAAAGAGCAATTACTTTTGCAAAAATCATTGAATCAAAGTTCTTTTAAGGGAGACACAACTTCATATCATGATTATTATGTATACCGAGTTTCAAAGAGATCCGTTGAAAAATGTAGGAGGAGATTGCTGGACAAACAAAAGTTTACATCGGACGGACAACCCCATACCATAATACTTCCGTCAAGGGCGTATAAAAATGGCAAGTATCGGCACAATTCACATCAACACAACAGAAAAACAATAGTGCAACTGACATATACTTCTACAGTAAAACAACCACACAAATATTATTTGTCAATTTCATAGGGAACTTATTTAATGATTAAAAGAATTACTTCCCTTTACAAGTCTTGTAACATGTGGTTTTGCATTATGGGTGAAGTTGATATTTCCACATGTTCACCATTATTCTGCATTGCAAATGAAGGGGAGGTAATCATGTAGTAGCTATGTTTGAACACTGTACTGGACAAAATGAACACATAATAAATTACTGTACAACATTATCAACCTAGACTTCAGCAGAACAATTATCAGGTAGTCAAAAGGAATGTTTTAAATATTATCAATACTGGTCATTTGTCTGATGAAGGCGACAGGCTGCTACATACCGTACTACATATAGTCATCAAAACATCACACATAAACACTTACTGGTTGTGCTACATAAACCTTTCTACAAACTGATCAGTTCTGCATTCCAAGCTAAACAGAAGCATCCGATACCATTACTGACATAAGCGACATTGTTATGTAATTACACACCGATATTGCCCTGATCATGCCTATTGATGATTACCCTATATCAAAACAACAGAATGCATTAATTGTGTAACAAGACAAGATAAATGTAAAATGACAGACTAGCATTCTAACCAGGGGTCTCTGAACTGTTGTCACACATCAAGTCTACTTAGTTACCGATCATCTGTGATTACAAAACCAAGAATACTTCCATGGCCGGGATGAAACTTGAGAATCTATATCCACTTTGCATTGATAGACAACAAATATAATTACTAAATTAAATCAAATGTAATCTCTGAAGTTCTGAATTACAGCCATTTTAACCAACTGTGACTACTTGGTTCACAACAAAGGTGAAGGTTGGATTAAAATTTAACTCTAGAGTTTAAGCTATCCCAACCAACTGTGACTACTTATATCATTTTTAAAACAACTTCTGAGTACAAAATATATAAAATTATTCTACTTTCATAATGAAATCATCAGTAACAGATAAATAAACAAAGTAACAATGTAGCAAGAATTATGAGGAAAGTACTGAAAATGGTTATAAATGGATGTTCTTTAAAAGACTATCTCAATTCTTACTAAACACGATTATTTAATATCCTGGTGGTACTTCACTTGTTATCGTAAAAAAAAGACCAGTTATATGTCATCAGGTAGGATTATTCACTCCACAACCTGAAATATTACTTGTGTTTGAGAGAGATGTTCTATTCATTACATTTCTAAGAGATATGCATGTGACTGAACATTGACAGAACGATGTTGTCTTGAAATTGGGCTATGATAGTATTAGTATCATATCATAATGTTGTTGTTTTTTGATAGTTTAGTTTGCCATAATTACTGCTCTCCGAATGCTAAGTTTAATAACTGCTCTCCGATAACTGTTCTCCGATAGCTGTTCTCTGAATGCAAAGTTTAATAACTGCTCTCCGATAACTGTTCTCTGAATGCTAAGTTTAATAACTGCTCTCCGATAACTGTTCTCCGAATGATAAGTTTAATAACTGCTCTCCGATAACTGTTCTCCAATTACTGTTCTCCAAATGATAAGTTTAATAACTGTTCTCCGATAACTGTTCTCCGAATGGGGACAAGTTTAATAACTGCTCTCCGATAACTGTTCTCCGATTACTGTTCTCCGAATGATAAGTTTAATAACTGCTCTCCGATAACTGTTCTCCGAATGATAAGTTTAATAACTGCTCTCCGATAACTGTTCTATGATAACTGTTCTCCAAATGATAAGTTAAATAACTGCTCTCCGATAACTGTTCTCCGATAACTGTTCTCCAATTACTGTTCTCCAAATGATAAGTTTAATAACTGCTCTCCGATAACTGTTCTCCGAATGATAAGTTTAATAACTGCTCTCCGATAACTGTTCTCCGATAACTGTTCTCCAAATGCTAAGTTTAATAACACCTCTCCGATTACTGTTCTCTGAATGCTAAGTTTAATATAAAATGTATGAATAAATTTTCATCAAATTTGATTTGTCACGCCAGAAATGTATTTCTTTTCAGTGGAAGTAACATGAAGCACCTCACCATTTAAATATATTTAGACTAGAAGAGATACAAAAAATGTGATTAACATGTACAGTCGACCCTAAACATTCAGTAAAAACATTTTTAAATATGAACTACTGAAATAATGATCTTCTGGGAAAACGAAATGAACGTTTTCTAATTTTGCTAAACTTGGTTATTTCAAATATATCAAACGTTTTGATTCTGGATTTATGAGATTCTGTACATATAGTGTATGGAAATGATTCTATTTCTTATAAATTGGATTAAGGAATGCTGTGTTTTTTTCAAACTTTTATGAAATGTAGAAATTCATAATAAATATTCATATCATAATTCTATCTGGGGACTCAAATTTTCATAAAAAAAGCAAGGCAAAATACATTATTTAATTGTTTAAGATAATCAGAGAAAATCTATGGCGTTCAAATTTCCATCAAAAGACAATAACAAATTATTTCAATATTTTAAGACATTTAGGAGGAGATCCAGGCACTGCAATGGATCAATTTCTGATAGTTTAAACGGAATTCTTCAGGACTTGCACCACCCAGATCATCTCATCTTAGATTATTAATTAATTGTTAATTAAGCACTCTTAATAACTAATCATTGATATCCATCTCTCGCTTCCTTCCTTTTATTTTGTCTTCAGTTGGGAAATGGAAATTTCTTTCACTGTGTCGTGATCTCTGCAACTCATTTCTAAAGTATTCAATTGTCTTTTTAATTCCAGTCATCATAGGGACCTGAAAAACAATATAAAATCACAATTACGCCTGTAACATTAAAGTATCACAGGGACCTGACAAATATTATAAAATCATGATAACGACTGTAACATTATAGTATCACAGGGACCTGAAAAATATTATAAAATCATGATTATGGCTGTAATACAATAGTATCATAGGGACCTGAAACCTGTAACAGTATAGTACACACATTCAAAGCATTATTTCAAACTTTGGCAATATATCTCATTACATTGCAAAATTTCTAGAGGATATCTTATTACATTGCAATATTTCTAGCAAGGCAGTCTCTACCATGTGTTGACATACCTGAGGTTTCAAGTTGAGGTAGTCCCTACCATGTGTTGACATACCTGAGGTTTCCAGTTGAGGTAATCTCTACCATCAGTTGACATACCTGAGGTTTCCAATTGAGGTAGTCTCTACCATGTGTTGACATACCTGAGGTTTCCAGTTGATGTAGTCTCTACCATGTATTGACATACCCGCGGTTTCCACCTCCCAATCTACCATGTGTTGACATACCCCATGTTTCCAGTTGAAGTAGTCTCTACCATGTGTTGACATACCTGAGGTTTCCAGTTGAGGTAGTCTCTACCATGTGTTGACATACCCAATGTTTCCAGTTGAAGTAGTCTCTACCATGTGTTGACATACCTGAGGTTTCCAGTTGAGGTAGTCTCTACCATCGGTTGACATACCCGAGGTTTCCAGTTGAGGTAGTCTCTACCATGTATTGACATACCTGAGGTTTCCAGTTGAGGTAGTCTCTACCATGTATTGACATACCCGAGGTTTCCACCTCCCAATCTACCATGTGTTGACATACCTTAGGTTTCCAGTTGAGGTAGTCTCAACCATCGGTTGACATACCTGAGGTTTCCAGTTGAGGTAGTCTCTACCATGTGTTGACATACCCGAGGTTTCCAGTTGAGGTAGTCTCTACCATGTGATGACATACCTGAGGTTTCCAGTTGAGGTAGTCTCTACCATGTGATGACATACCTGAGGTTTCCAGTTGAGGTAGTCTCTACCATGTGTTGACATACCTGAGGTTTCCAGTTGAGGTAGTCTCTACCATGTGTTGACATACCTGAGGTTTCCAGTTGAGGTAGTCTCTACCATGTGATGACATACCTGAGGTTTCCAGTTGAGGTAGTCTCTACCATGTGATGACATACCTGAGGTTTCCAGTTGAGGTAGTCTCTACCATGTGATGACATACCTGAGGTTTCCAGTTGAGGTAGTCTCTACCATGTGTTGACATACCTGAGGTTTCCAGTTGAGGTAGTCTCTACCATGTGTTGACATACCTGAGGTTTCCAGTTGAGGTAGTCTCTACCATGTGATGACATACCTGAGGTTTCCAGTTGAGGTAGTCTCTACCATGTGATGACATACCTGAGGTTTCCAGTTGAGGTAGTCTCTACCATGTGTTGACATACCTGAGGTTTCCAGTTGAGGTAGTCTCTACCATGTGTTGACATACCTGAGGTTTCCAGTTGAGGTAGTCTCTACCATGTGATGACATACCTGAGGTTTCCAGTTGAGGTAGTCTCTACCATGTGATGACATACCTGAGGTTTCCAGTTGAGGTAGTCTCTACCATGTGTTGACATACCTGAGGTTTCCAGTTGAGGTAGTCTCTACCATGTGTTGACATACCTGAGGTTTCCAGTTGAGGTAGTCTCTACCATGTGATGACATACCTGAGGTTTCCAGTTGAGGTAGTCTCTACCATGTGATGACATACCTGAGGTTTCCAGTTGAGGTAGTCTCTACCATGTGTTGACATACCTGAGGTTTCCAGTTGAGGTAGTCTCTACCATGTGTTGACATACCTGAGGTTTCCAGTTGAGGTAGTCTCTACCATGTGATGACATACCTGAGGTTTCCAGTTGAGGTAGTCTCTACCATGTGTTGACATACCTGAGGTTTCCAGTTGAGGTAGTCTCTACCATGTGATGACATACCTGAGGTTTCCAGTTGAGGTAGTCTCTACCATGTGTTGACATACCTGAGGTTTCCAGTTGAGGTAGTCTCTACCATGTGTTGACATACCCGAGGTTTCCAGTTGAGGTAGTCCCTACCATGTGATGACATACCTGAGGTTTCCAGTTGAGGTAGTCTCTACCATGTGTTGACATACCTGAGGTTTCCAGTTGAGGTAGTCTCGTGCCTTCGTAATGTCTGGTTTGCGTTTTTTTGGATCGTCTTGCATGATTGGCTTGTGTACAATTTTACTTTCTCCTCCTGAATAAAAGTTAAACCAAACACTTTTAATATTAATTTGAAATAAAATGTCTTCTTGAAATATTTCATCATCTTTATCATCTACCAATTTGTTTCAGGAACAAAACAAATATTTCACTACCACAAAAATAAAGTGCAACACTGTGATACATTAAACATGTCCAACAATCTTTTATACACGGATACTGAAAGTCTGTTAAAATTCAAACCCACCCTCATCTTAACCGGTACAGAGTGTGAATGAAAATGAGTACAGTATACAATTCCTCCTTGTTATATGCAAACCTTGCGAAGGATACGGTATTTTAAAACATTGTAGCTGAACCCTTATCTTCATACAAAATCAGATTGCCCCTGTAACAAAGGGAGAGTACCAATATTTAATGTGGGTTATACAAGAGCACACATTTGATATTGTAGTCATTCCTAAATAAGCATTACATATATCACTGTCATTTTACTTGACCTTTGTGTAAACTTTGATGAAAGCCTAGTTTTATCAAGGAGAACAGTGGCCTTCAACAATAACCTATCGTTGCTGTTCAGGGGGTTTGGAGTCCCAATATCGTACAATCTGTAATTATGAGAGTGTGAAATAAGAATACCGCTGGACTAAACTTGTTACAATTCCTAATGACTACATATTGTATACTGAAACATGCTGATAAATAAGGTGACATGTTACAACTACGTGTTGGCTGGGCCGCACACTTTTTGATTGCTCCGCATCTGAAAATTGAACCAACATGATCAATGCATGCAACCTATCAAAGTTGAGTGTTGAAAACCCAAGTTCAAAGTTGAATTTAATATGAACATCCCCCTGCTGGTTTTTCCCCGGTTTCTTCTTACCTATAAGATTTTTTATAATGTTAGCGAAGTCAAGGATGGTGTGCTCATCTGGGTTACCGAGGTTCACAGGTAGAGAATAATTGGCATTCATCAACTTAACGAGACCGTTGACTAGGTCAGACACATACTGGAACGATCTTGTCTGGTTCCCATCACCATACACCTGAAACGTACATCAAAATACTCATTTCCTTGACACAAATTTATAAAAAAACATACTGCATATTGGGAATTTTTTGCCCAGTTGTACTTTCAGCCTACACATTTCATTACTTTCTTATGTTGTTTACTTATGTTTACTGTAATAATGGTAAATGCACCCTCTGTGAGGCGAAAATTAAACTGCAGCCTAAATTTCCCGGTATACAGTAGAAATGATAACTTTTTTTTCATTTGTTTATCAACTTATTCACACCTGAAATTTCATAAAGAACAGTTCCAACTTTTGAATTGGAAGAATTCAAATGTATCTTCAGGGGTGTATAAGTTAAATGAACATTGCTGCTCCGGTATTCAATACACCCAAAGCAAGAGAGTTGCTCATTTTCTTGCTCACCTCTTCCATTACTGTTGTAAAATAAATAAATGAAGCAAGAATGTTGTCAAATTATACAGCCAGGAATCATACCATACTACGTCCAGACAGACAACACATTCCCACAGGTATTACAATGAGGTACACTATAACACAGCACGGACTGATACAGATGTAAGTGTATTACAATGAGGTACACTATAACACAGGAATGACTGATACAGATGTAAGTGTATTATAATGAGGTACACTATAACACAGGACTGAGTGATACAGATGTAAGTGTATTACAATGAGGTGCACTATAACACAGGACTGACTGATACAGATGTAGGTGTATTACAATGAGGTACACTATAACACAGAACTGACTGATACAGATGTAAGTGTATTTCAATGAGGTACACTATAACACAGTCACGACTGATACAGATGTAAGAACTATATCACTTTAATAAACTCACTGATACAGAGGTAAGTGTATTACAATGAGGTACACTATAACCCAGGACTGACTGATACAGATGTAAGTGTATTGCAATGAGGTACACTATAACACAGGACTGACTGATACAGAGGTAAGTGTATTACAATGAGGAACACTATAACACAGGACCGACTGATACAGATGTAAGTGTATTACAATGAGCTACACTATAACACAGCATTGACTGATACAGATGTAAGTGGATTACAATGAGGTACACTATAACACAGCACTGACTGATACAGATGTAAATGTATTAAAATGAGGTACACTATAACACAGGACTGACTGATCAGATGTAAGTGTATTACAATGAGGTACACTATAATACAGGACTGACTGATACAGATGTAAGTGTATTATAATGAGGTACACTATAACACAGGACTGAGTGATACAGATGTAAGTGTATTACAATGAGGTCCACTATAACACAGCACTGACTGATACAGATGTAAGTGTATTACAATGAGCTACACTATAACACAGCATTGACTGATACAGATGTAAGTGTATTACAATGAGCTACACTATAACACAGCATTGACTGATACAGATGTAAGTGGATTACAATGAGGTACACTATAACACAGCACTGACTGATACAGATGTAAGGGTATTACAATGAGGTACACTATAACACAGGAATGACTGATACAGATGTAAGTGTATTATAATGAGGTACACTATAACACAGGACTGAGTGATACAGATGTAAGTGTATTACAATGAGGTCCACTATAACACAGCACTGACTGATACAGATGTAAATGTATTAAAATGAGGTACACTATAACACAGGAATGAATGATACAGATGTAAGTGTATTAAAATGAGGTACACTATAACACAGGACCGACTGATACAGATGTAAGTGTATTACAATGAGCTACACTATAACACAGCATTGACTGATACAGATGTAAGTGGATTACAATGAGGTACACTATAACACAGCACTGACTGATACAGAGGTAAGTGTATTACAATGAGGTGCACTATAACACAGCACTGACTGATACAGATGTAAATGTATTAAAATGAGGTACACTATAACACAGGAATGAATGATACAGATGTAAGTGTATTAAAATGAGGTACACTATAACACAGGACCGACTGATACAGATGTAAGAACTATATCACTTTAATAAACTCACTGATACAGAGGTAAGTGTATTACAATGAGGAACACTATAACACAGCATTGACTGATACAGATGTAAGTGGATTACAATGAGGTACACTATAACACAGCACTGACTGATACAGATGTTAGTGTATTACAATGAGGTACACTATAACACAGCGCTGACTGATACAGATGTAAGTGTATTACAATGCGGTACACTATAACACAGGACTGACTGATACAGATGTAAGTGTATTATAATGAGGTACACTATAACACAGGACTGAGTGATACAGATGTAAGTGTATTACAATGAGGTACACTATAACACAGGACCGACTGATACAGATGTAAGAACTATATCACTTTAATAAACTCACTGTCATTGGTTCTCCCTGCAGTGCCTGCAGGATAAAGTTACTGACAACGCGTCCATCATTCATGTGCATCCTGGGACCAAATGTGTTAAAAATCCTTGCCACTCGCACTTGTACATGGTCCTGTAACAGAAGTTTTTTTTTATATTAATTTAAATTTTCAAAAATGTATAATAAAGTTTTTGACTTGCTGTCCATACAACTGTAAAATGTAATGAATGTTTCCATAAACAGTTTTATATATAATATTGTGTTACAATAACAAGGTATTTCCTATTCCTATGCTTACTCCTAAACGTCCTAATTGATTGACGTAATTTACATGTGTAATGATGTAACCCATAAAGTACAGAATATCTTAATGTACATTTTTCTAAACTTAGAACCAGCAGCGGACTGATCCCCACTTACATATGTAACTTGAATGTAAACTTTTCAATAGTTTCTTTAAAAATTATGGTTTTCAGCATTTTTGGTATTTTTTACAAATCTTGATTTGCACATGAGCTCACCTGTCAGAGGCTGATAAGTATGTAATTTTTAGTATTCTGTGACATCATAGTATTATATCTTTGAACATGTTATCTGTCATAACCTATGGGGTGACAAAGAATTCTCCCACCCTTCACAGGTGTGTCTCCCGTTTTAGCCGGTAAAGGTCAGCTTGTCACCGCCAGGGGGAGATAGCCTCATGCCGATTAGCATGTGTTCAATTGTGATGTCATTAAAAGTGAATAACGATATTCATACCACAAACATGACAGACTACTGTCGATGGAGTTGTGACTGAAATAATAGGATGGGAGAAAAATAATCATCCCCTACCTTGAGGGTGTAACAGAGAAATCTCCAACCCTCGGGGTGATGTTTTTGTTTGTTCTCTAACCCAAGGCTCACAACCAAAAAACATCACCCCTTGGGTAGGAGATTTCTCTGTCACACCCTCAAGGTAGGGGAAGATTCTATTTATCATGTGCATGTTGGCAGAAAATGGTACAATTACATTGAGGTCATTTTGCAGTGTTCCGCTTCATCAAGGAGTCAATCATACTATACCTGCTTGGCATAGGCATAACACATTGTCTCGGCTACACGCTTGCCTTCGTCGTAACAAGCTCGCGGGCCTATAGGATTAACATGGCCCCAGTACTCTTCAGGCTGAGGGTGAACCTCTGGGTCTGAAACAGCAAGCCAAAATGAATATCAAGATTTTCTTGTGGGACTAAGCATTCAACTTCCAGCCTCAAGTTTTGTATTTACCAAACGCAATACAGCATTTAGCTTCTACAATTAAATAGCACATGATTCGTATTAAAGTACAATATACAAAATGGCAGAGGATAATTCCTTATTCATATTTGACATAAAAATGTTACTGCCCCACAAGGGTTTTTATTTTGGCAATTGCATGCAATCAACATGGGTTAACATCGCGCATAATGCAAAATAAGTCTGATGGACTTTTCATGTAAAACTGTTTTACTGTAATACACTACAGCCAGGAACATTAAACCTTTATAATTAAGTAACAGGACTTTTCTACAAGAGGTGATTACTTACCTCCATAGACCTCTGACGTAGATGCCAGCAGCAGACGACCTCGTACACGCTTGGCTAATCCTACAACAATCAAACAACCCCTTTGGAGTGATACAGTTATACTTCAAGTTTCATCACATCTTTAACGGTTTAATGTGTATGGCTCTAACAAGACTCTAGTACAAGAAGAACCAGCATTTAACACAATGTTTCCCTTTATTCAAAGGGAGGAAACATAATTGCTTGAGGATAATTATCACTGGACCAATCAGAACTTACATCACATGAAGATCATATTCTCTTGTCCAATCAAAACTCACCTAACATGTGGATGGTGCCAATGGTGTTGGTTTTGATGGTTTTGACTGGGTTGTACATGTAGTTCGGTGGAGAAGCAGGGGAAGCTAGGTGGTAGATCTGATCCACTGAAAACATAAACAGTTGTGACATATGATATTTTCATGCATTAAGAGAGGAGTTTATACATACAAGGCATCTAGTCGGTGCCATTTTGAGATGTAGATACGAAACTACACGATCACGGTGCAGTTTGGTCACTTTGTATCTGAAACCAAGTTTTCATATTGCAGAAGCAATCTTAAGTAGCTCTAACAAATCAAGCTCTCTTTTAAACTGAAAATCACTGTGCAATTTACTTCAAATCTTTATATAAACCAATCAAATGGCAAATGGATTAAGGCATCCCTAGCATGTCATATACCATAGGGTGTACATGTCTTCCAACCGAATCTCAAATCAATCTCTAACGGCTCATAATCTTAGAGGAGTTGTTGGAGACAGAGACAGACCTCAATTAATAATCTACTTTTTCCCTAAAAGCTATTGATGAAACTATCCTTACCTTCTATAAAGAGTGGGTTTACAATGTCGTGGTTGATGAGTTCAAAGTTCTCGTGGCCGATCCAATGTTCCACGTTACGTTTCCGACCAGTAAAGAAATTGTCCACTACAGTGACCTCGTGACCTTCCAGCATCAACTTGTCAACAAGGTGAGACCCAACAAATCCAGCTCCTCCCGTTATCTGTCAATCACAATAGATCTATAAATATAAACAAGGTGAGAACCCACAAACCCAGCTCCTCCCATTATCTGTCAATCACAATAAATCTATAAATATAAACAAAGTGAGAACCCACAAATCCAGCTCTTCCCGTTATCTGTCAATTACAATAAATCTATAAATATAAACAAAGTGAGAACCCACAAACCCAGCTCCTCCCTTTATCTGTCAATCACAATAAATCTATAAATATAAACAAGGTGAGACCCAACAAATCCAGCTCTTCCTGTTATCTGTCAATCACAATAGATCTATAAATATAAACAAGGTGAGACCCAACAAATCCAGCTCTTCACGTTATCTGTCAATCACAATAGATCTATAAATATAAACAAGGTGAGACCCAACAAAGCCAGCTCTTCCCGTTATCTGTCAATCACAATAAATCTATAAATATAAACAAGGTGAGACCCAACAAATCCAGCTCTTCCCGTTATCTGTCAATCACAATAGATCTATAAATATAAACAAGGTGAGACCCAACAAACCCAGCTCTTCCCGTTATCTGTCAATCACAATAGATCTACAATTAACACTCCTAATACCCAGGCATTATTGCTTATATATACAAATTTATATTCTTCTATAAGTGCCACTCCCAACAGAATGAATCCAATCATCTATCAATATTTGCTTTAAAACATTCATCGTTCACTGTTTTTTAACTGAGTAACTTGCATTGTCTGAGGGCGTAACTTGTCTAAGATTGTAATCTAACTTATGAGGACAGATTGAGCTTAAATCATTGAGGAGAAAATTCCTTTTAACATGCCCTAAAGTGTAATACCAAAATACATTGTCCAAGGAGGTATCTTTCTGGCAATTTCAATTGATGAGAAATGGATCGGATACACCCTTAGATATATACAAACCAGGATTCTTTTCCTGTCTTTGTATGTCAGGAACTTAACTTCTGGAAATGTTTTCTTTCTGTAAACAAATTCAGTAGTACATGTAGTTGATCAATATAACGTAACATATATTACAACACAAAGGATGTACAATACGTGTATCAAAAGCCACAGAAAAACTCAGATTTACCTAAATGTAACCAGGCTACACAGAACATGATAAATAGGATCACATGCATTTTGAGATGAAATATAACTCAGAAACCTGTATTTCGGTATTTGAGGTAAAGGTCAAAGGTCATATAGAGGTTGTGGTTTTTCCCTTTTTGGTATATATGCTACACAGCACTTTCTGAAGATATACCTACAGATCAGTTTTGTATCCCTGTATAAAACAGTTCCTGAGATATACTTCCAAAAACTTTTAAAATTGTAATAACCTTAATTTTTTTGAACTTGATTAAACATCTTATAATGATGAACCTCTATACCATCCATGAAACTATGGTTGAGATGATACAGAGACCTTATATTTCTAGATTTAGAGTGTCCAACACAGCATCAGACTTTTATGTATACCAGAGGAACGACTCTTACATTCAATGGTAAAAATCTACTTACATTATCAAGTTTTTGTTTGTAGTACAGCATACATTGTCAACAATATAAAATCTATGTATAAATTAATATGTATCTCTTGAAATTCCCTAAGTTTTTTACAAACACCCCTAATAAAACACAACATAAGCATAAACATACAAGTCCATGTCCTCCAATACTTTTAACCACCACATGTTAGGAGTATATGTTAGTACCAAAGAAAACGAAGAAGAAAATTACCATGCCAACCTTAGTTCACATTATGATCATAGCATGTAACAATTGTGATCATTTAAGGACATGCTAGATATTAGTGGTGGAGAAAGGTCGGAGTTCCTGGAGAGGTACCACCGAACTACGGCTTGTACCTGGCGACTGCCCCATGTAGGCCTTGAACCTCCGACCCAGTGGTGGAGGGCTAGTGGTAGCAGAATGTCAGATGCCTTAACCACTTGGCCCCCACATGTACGTTTAAGCCCTTTTTGCCAAATATTTTCTGTGAGTATACTTTTATGTTTCCAACAATTACTTTTGGATATCCTGCAATAATATAATGTATAACTACTGAACAATTATATTTTGTATAATACTTTCTTTTGTGTATCAAATAACTGTTTTGTATTTTATTAAACAATTACTTTTGTAAGTACCTCAGGCCTGGTATATTATATTGTACCTGTATCCAACCATATATTGTACCTGTATCCAATCCATGCAACACTTTCGTTCACGACCACGTGCACAATATGAGAACATCTTGATAATGTTCATTTTAGCCAGTTTAATGTAAATGAAAGAATTGGGACAATACAAAAGACAAAAGCAGATAACCAAAATATTCATACACTAGTATAAATAATGATAATGAAAGCTAGAATTAGACATGCTATATTTACAGACGAAAATCTTGAGTTTGACCATCTCCATGCCTATGTGTTTAAATGTATTTGATTATTATGTAGCTATGTATAAGCTGTAATACACATAACCAAGTATACGTTAGATCTATTCATCCTTGCTATCCAGGGGTTACACTCTCTGCATCCCTGGAATACGTAATGGCGAAATTGAAGGCTCAGTAGTGTGCATCACCTTGTTGATGAGACAAGAAGACTAGTTTGATCCTTTGGTGTATATCAAAAGAATTTTGACGTGTGACGGTAAAAACTGACTGGCTTTGAAGTCGGGTGTTGCCCTTTTGTAATCTTCAAACGACAGCTGTAGGTATCAGTCAAGCGATCGGTCAGGTTTTCTTACCCAGGTTTTCTTACCCGAGACCAATCAAACAGCTGTCTTTGTGCCTTCAATTTTGCTATGACGACATATTCGGGATGCAGAGAGCGAAAGTGAGCTTAACCCGCTGGAGTATCAGGGATGAGATCTATTACACACATTGCTATAACACTTACTAGTCAATACTATCAATTTCTTTGGTATGTCATTCATAAAAGAAATTATATAAACATATTATTATAAATTTTTTTATACATATATTTATTTATGTATTATTAATCATCTAATATTTTTTCCATTTCACACACAAACAATGTTCAGGTTTGATCGTTCTATACCTACTCTTTCTCCAGTGCTGCCACTCTCTGCTTCAACTCCTCAATAATCTGGTACGTGTCAGCCCCTAACTCCTTAATTGACCTAGAACCACAGGTATAGTCTATCATACATGTAGGAAAGTGTGGAATGTACAGTGGAATAAGGATAATACAAAGAAACACATTCCAAGTTCTCACCTAAAACAAACATATACCGGTATCAGTATCCTGGCAAAGCAATAGCCTCACCAAACTCTATAATGATTTTGGCTATAACAATCTTTCTTATGTTGATTTGGGATTTGTTATGAACATGGTGTATTTCTTTGGACACTTCTAGGATATATTAACACCAAATTTCATCTCAAAGCAAGAACATAATACCATTTTTCTGCTTGTTTCATTTCTAATACTTGTATGTACCTTGTACATGTACTAAAAGAGTTAACGTCCAATTTTTGTTTCGTCAAGGAGTGTTAGATTCATCATCTAGGTTTCAAAAATGAACATTTACATTTGCTATGCATCCTTTCTTTGCAATACATTGGAAGGCAAATATTGTTGTGAGACTATAACAACACTTGCTATTGTAGTCATCAATCTCTATTGTGACGTCATCAATTTCATTGTTGTAAACACTTAATTTGCTGTTCAAAGAACTTTCGAAATAACTAAATAAAGCATAACTACTCTAGTCTAACAAAATGTAAATATAAATAATGATCATATAACACACATTTCTATTGCTGACAAACCTACATAAAGCCGAGCTTTATTATGTTTGTCATCAATAGCAATGTGTGTTATAGGACCATAACAACATTTGCTAAAACATTCATTGCTCAAATGAAATTCATTCATTTTCATATTGCAATGAGCACAAAGATTGAGTTAACCTAATAATTGCAACTAACATAACCTTCAATGAACTACCTAAATACAAAATGTATATTCACCTCGTCACTTCATTGGAGCTTGAAAACTTTCCAAAGCCAACTGAAAAAAAAAGAAGTTTGGATTAAAAACTGTACGTACGGATAATTAGCTTGTTTTATTTTCCATATAAATATCATACTAACTAATCCCAAGTCATAACTTAAGTGCATTTATCAAGTGCGTATTTGGACCAAAGCCTTTCTGTTCTTTATAAGAAATTGTTTAAAGGAAGCGTTGACAGATGACTGACAGACTAGGGGTGTCTTTGGACGAGCCTGAAAACAGATCTCACAAACAATCCAGAACATATTCTTGTTTTTCTCCCGGTAAATTGACGTTCTAACAGCTAGAACAAACCAAGAACAAACAAAGATGGACTAAATCATGTTTTTCCTAATAACTATGTGTCCTGTTATTTTTGTTTACATGCCAACATCATGGGTGTGAATGAGATGCTAAATTTTAGTACAACATATTAACAAAAACATTCTGAACAGTAACGTAATAAAATCACAATTGCTGACTTTGCAAATAAAAAGTTCAAGTATGTAAATTAAGAACTAAATGCACAAATTAAAATACAAAAATGTTAATTCTAAACTGACTGCACATAATAAATTGGCAAAATATAACAATATTAGCAAAGACATCAGAGAAAAGTTTGATTTCAGATTTCAGATTTTATTTCCAACACTCAGACACATGAAAATGTGTAACATGAGGTACATGTACATGAATTCATATATTAAATTTTGACAGGATGGACAGGTGCATGCATGTATACAAGGCAAGATTGTATTGACACTCAGACACATAATATGTGTTACATGAGGAAATAAAGTTGCAGATATGGAAAATGAAGTACAATGGACAGTTCAATTTAGAATCGGTACGGTATAGTAACATGATATGACATACAATGGAAAATACAAAACAAACATAAAAAACAACCATACATATAATTCACAAGTTATTTAACTATTAACAGTTATACATATGCATCATTCACAAAAGAGGAGCCATTTTGGTTAGGAAAATAGATAAACCTGTCAGAACTCGTTGATTGCATAATGATAAAAGACCTTTAAACTTATAAATATTTGGGTTTGTGCAATAATAACGGGGAATATATTTGTTACGTAAGGTGGATATAGTTATATTATTACATTCAAATATATAATGAAATTCATCTCCGACACTTTCCGCGCACAAATTACATAGTCGATTATCTCGGGGTATGTTATACCATCTACCTGTTTCAATTGGAAACTTCAAATTCGAGGTGCGCAGTTTTGTTATTGGTGTTCTGATATGTTCTGGCAGATTTAATAAATATTTTTCTAGACCAAATTCCGTTTTAAATAGAGTGTAGAACTGCCCACGAGATGAGCTAGTAATGTCATCGAACCATTGCTGTACAAAGTGATCGTTAAGCCGTTGTTTTAAAATGCATTTGTAAAATCCATCAGGCATATGTAATTTATTATCAAATATGTAAGAAAATCCCGTTTCATTGAAAATACCTTTTATATAGTTAATCCATTTGAACTGAAGAGTATCATCGTTTTGCATATGTAAAGCTAGTCGTAGTAATATGCTGCTGAGTTTGTTTTCATTACTAATTATTCTATTCCAAAAACCTAACATTCTTAGTTTAACATTTATTTCCAATGGCACACGACCTAGCTCGCCATAAATCATAAAATTAGGCGTTGTGGATCTCACTTTAAGAATTCTTTTACAAAATTTGAGATGAATCTGTTCGATTATTTTCAGGTTTTCGAATCCCCATACATCCGATCCATACAATAGAATCGGTTCCACTAAAGAATCAAATAGTTTTAATTGTAAATCTATAGGAAGAGAAAGGTTCCTGATTTTTTTGTAGATAGCAAATATTGACTTTTGGGCCTGGTTGATCAATCTGCGTCTTGCGTTTACAAAACTGCCATTGTAATTAAATGTTATTCCTAAGTAAGTAAAATTATCTACAATTTCTAAAATTTCATTTTGTAATACAAATACATGTTGTTGTTTACTTTTCCTCTTGCGAAAAACCATGACTTTTGTTTTATTTACATTTATATTAAGCTTCCAAATCTTACAATACTGCTGGAATACATTCAAAGCACTCTGCAGTCCCTCTGGACTTTCTGAAAATAGGACACTGTCATCAGCGTATAGGAGTACAAAAATTTCTACAAAAATATGTAGTTCATTATACAGCTTATCCCGTACATTTTCGAGTGGAACACAACTTAAAGAAGCAAAATAACTTTCAATGTCATTAAGAAATACTGAAAAAAGAAAGGGGGATAAATTTTCCCCTTGTCTAACCCCGATCAAGCAGGGGAAAAAATCTGACGTTTTCGAGTTGAATTGAACACAGGATTTAATATTATTATACATGTTATAGATAACTTTGAAACATTTCCCGTTTATATTGCTGCTATGTAATTTTTGCCACAGACCTGCTCTCCAGACGGTATCAAATGCCTTTTTAAAATCGATAAAGGTACAGTATAGCTTTTTGCCACTTGAAAGATATATAGAAATGAGAATATGCATAATAAAAACGTTGTCTATAGTTGAATGACCTTTTCTGAACCCTGCTTGACTTCGAGATATTAAATCAATTTGTTTTTCATATTCATTAAGACGGGTATTGATGATTGAAGTAAATAGTTTACCAAGACAACTAATTAAAGTGATAGCTCTATAATTATCAGGGTCTTCTGGACTTCCCTTATTTTTGTATATTGGTTTGATAATGCCGACACTCCAACTTTCCGGAATAATTCCCGTGTCTAATATTATATTGAACAATTTACAATAGACTGTGGTCATTTCCGGTGGGGAATTTTTCAGATATTCATTTAAAACGCGGTCCGGGCCGGACGCTTTATTATTTTTTAATGATTTAATAGCTTTTTGTATTTCTGATTCAGTAATTGGTACATTCAATGTATTGTTGACGTCATCATCATTATCAAAACTGTCGTTATCAACCTCGTCATTATTACTGTCCTCTTCGAGTGAATTAAGTTTCTTAAAATAGTCATATAGGTCGTCAATAGGTATGTCTGGTGTAGTATTTTTATTTTGTGAAAATTTATTAAGTGTTTTCCAGAATGCTTTAGGGTCTCGTTTGGAATTCTCTCTTAATTCTTTTGTGCATTTCTCTTGATATTTTTTGTAATTTTTCCTTAGTTGTTTTCTGTATTCTCTCCCTTTTTTATTCATCGTGTGCTTGGTTTCCGTTAACTTGTTAAATTTATATCTAATTTTATATTTATTAAAGGCGTTTCTAGCAAGTTTACAATCGTGGTTAAACCATGGCTTATTTACATTTTTGTACTTATTTTTACGACGGTGCGACACACCTATTGTATTAGTGGCGCTATTTGTTAACACAGTAGATATGTCGGTCACTAGACCATTAACCTGTTCTTTGGTGATAGTATCACTAAGTAAAACATTATTTAGATTTATATTAATACTATGTAAGTTGTTTTTCACTTCTTGTGAAAAAATTGCCGATTTCATGTAATCCCATCTGATATAGTCTCCCTCTGAAAGACTTTCTTTTTCGTTAATATTTTTTTTTCCCGGAAACATACACGAGAAATTTATTAGATTATGCACGTCTGAAAAGAGTGGGTTAAAATCATTAATTTCAAAATATGTTATTAACGGGAACAAATCAGCAGTCAATATAAGGTAATCGACAACACTAGAATCTTTACAGGTAGTTCTCCCTATATACTTATCACAAGAAACTCGTCCATTTGCGATAAATAAAGAGCATCGTTTGCACATTTCGATTAGTTTTGACCCATAGTTATTAATACGTCCTTTATCTTGGGTTTGTTTGCTTTGAGATGGCTTGTATGTAATGATTGTTCCAATTGTTCTTACCTATGGTGGTGTGAGAATCGTTCTTATCGTTAGGGCGAATGAAATATTGTTCTTGTTCCAAGAACAGAAAAGAGCACTGTTCATGGGCTCCAGCTCGCCCAAAGACACCCCAGAACTGGAAAAAATCTAGTATTGTCATAACCAGAGACACGATGGACCTATATTGCTAAACTTTTATTCATTATGGTTTTTTCAAACACATCTTACATCTGTGACCTAAAAAGTGGGTCAGGTCAAAGCTTATACAATTTAAACAACAAGAGGCCCATTGGGCCTTACTACCTCACCTGGTATTAATCTTGCACCAGTAACCTTCAAAGTGGGTAAAGGTCAAAGTTAATACAATTTATACAACAAGAGGCCCAATGGGTCTTACTACCTCACCTGGTATTAATCTCACACCAGTAACCTTCAAAGTGGGCAAAGGGTGAAAATGTTAAAGTGGACAAATTAAATTAAAAAAGTCCACATATCACCATCCTGGGCCTTTTAGTTATTGTTTAAAATTATAACACATTTGACGTGTGACCTTGAAGACAGGCCTCATCCTGAGTCATTGATTTTGATAAAACTAATGGCCCTTTAACAAAAATGCTTTAAGATTTTGAAGTATTTTTAGACCATCAAGGTCAATACGCAAGTTAAATGAACATGTACAAATATTCTGATAATTTGGTATCATATATTTAACAAAATGTTGTTTTCTTTTCAGAAAAAGTTGATGATGCCCAGACAGACAGACACCTGATGCTGTGCCAGAATGAGCTCAGACACTTTAAGTACATGTATCTCTACAATATAAGAAACTTATAGCTAACTTCAATTTATTATAATCTCTTTGGTAATTCAACATAGCTCCAGGGTTAGACAATGTAACCACAGAAAGTATGATGGAATGGGTTTCCTATGTATATATCAGGAAACAGATTAAAAGAGTTAAACATGTACAGATATACCTGTAGGTGGGGCATGACAGATAGGAAATTGCCCCTGAGGGCATCGTACCATCTGTAGTCAGAACACTGACTTTATAAGGTTCATCACCTTTATTCTACACTAATTTCCATATCACTCATAACTAAGTACTTTTGGACTGTTCAGCCATTCAGTGAAATAAAATGCTAAGACAGCCTGGCAACACCAGGGACCTTAGAATTAGTTAAAGTTTAGCTTTACTTGGACCTAAACTGATGTGTTTAGGTTACAGATATTGGAGGCGTTCAATCTACTTCCACAAACATTCCATCCCCAATGATGACATGTGTATACTGTAAATTGCATTTTGTACATGAATATCATCATTGGGTTTAGGTTTAGGTCCAAACATAGCTCAATTGTAACATATGTTCAGGTCATAGCCATGATCATGATATGTGTATGCAACCATGGTGATTTGTGTTAACAGCCATGGTGATTTGTGTAAACAGCCATGGTGATTTGTGTTAACAGCCATGGTGATTTGTGTGGACAGGTTGCTAGTGCTTGAGGGGATATATATACCTACCAACATTTACCCGATTGCCATTGTGTTGTTACTTGATGAAACTAATCGCATTACTAAAAAGAGATATAGAGGAACTTAGGATATTCAACATCAATTTCTTTCATTACTGATAGGTCCTTGTTTGATATTGTAATAATATGTTTTCAATTCACTTTATTCTCCGTTATTGACATTAAGAGACGAATATGAGTTAACATTGATTTAAAAATGTTTTAAGCATTCTATTTTTGCTATATTGAAATTGAATTTCATGAAAATAAAAGCGTGAAATACGTAGAATATATTTTAGGCATGTGAATCAAATCCAGCAATATAGTTTGAACGATGTTTATATGTTGTGTATTTGTGTCTGTGTGAATATTATATATGTGTTTTTAAAATCATGTAATGGTAAATGTATGAAGGGAGAAGGCTATGTATCTGTCTGTACATCTGTATCTGTATAAATACATGGACTCCTTCTAATAGAAGATAGCTGTCCACGGGATGTGCGCTCAGTCAAGGCACAAAGTTCTTTTGAAAGTGGTCAACTTATTAGCCGAAAATGGACCCGGGTCTAAACTGTTCCAATCCTTGACTGTCCTTGGAAAAAAACAATTTTTAAAAAGGTCCGAATTTGCAGGTATGATTTTGTAAGTTTTGGTATGCTTTTGGCGAGTTCTTTGTGAATTTGGAGTTAAATAATCATCCGGAGGTATTGCCACCAAGCCTGAAATAATTTTGTAACACTAGCCAATGTTCCCTGCGTCTTTCTGCTAGTGGTTTGAGTCCTAAATTTGCTAACGTTTTAGTTACACTTGATTTCCGTCCATAGTCGTTTAATATAAATCTAGCTGCACGTTGTTGAACCGATGATAAGTTGTGATCATTTTTATCCAATCAATTGTCTAAACTTAGTTGACATTAAAATATGTTTAAAGAAAACAGACAATGGTATCAACAGAAGATAAACAAGAGGCCCAATGGGCCTGAATCGCTCACCTGGTATTAATCTCACACTTGTAATCTTAAAAGTGGACTAAAATGCAGCTACAGGAAGAATATCAGTGTTTGATTCATAAGAGCCTATTAAAAGATTTAAACATATGACGCCTGTGACCTTGAATGTCGAACAAGGACATTAGGTTGAAATACAGGCCCAATATCAGTTCCCTGGGCCTTTTGGTTATTGAGAAGAATTTGTTTGAAGATTTTAAGACATTTTACCCCTGTCACCTTGAAAGTTGGTCAAGGTCATTCATTTGAACAAACTTGGTAGTCCTTCATCCCCGCATGCTACAGGCCCAATATCAGTTCCCTGGGCCTTTTGGTTATTGAGAAGAAGTCGTTTGAAGATTTCAAGACATCTGACCCCAGTGACCTTGAAAGTTGGTCAAGGTCATTCATTTGAACAAACTTGGTAGCCCTTCATCCCAGCATGCTACAGACCCAATATCAGTACCCTATGCCTTTTGGTTATTGAGAAGTCGTTTGAAGATTTTAAGACATCTGACCCCAGTGACCTTGAAAGTGGATCAAAGTCATTCATTAGAACAAACTTGGTAGCACTTCATCCCAGCATGCTACAGGCCCAATATAAGTACTCTGGGCTTTTTGGTTATTGAGAAGAAGTTGTTTGAAGATTTTAATATATTTGACCCCTGTGACCTTGAACACTCAAGGTCATTTATTTGAACAAACTTGGTAGCCCTTGATTCCAGTATGGTTCTGGCCAAATATCATCATCCTAGGCCTTTTGGTTACTGAGAAGAAGTTGTTTAAAGTAAAAAGTTGACGCCGGACGGACAGACGAACGCGGCACCATGGCATAAGCTCACTTGCCCTTCGGGCAGGTGAGTTAAAAAATCTTTGATTGTCAAATTAATTATCTTTTTTTTTTTAATTTCACATTTTTAATTGATTTTTCAAGATGTCAAATTGAACGAATTCATGTAATTTTATAAATTTATTTATTATATTTATTTAGTTATAATATATATATATAGAATCTGTTATTATTTTTTTCTGCAGTTTTATATCGGTTTTAGTTGATGGCAAGTTATTTCTCATTTTGTTCTGTTTGAAATTGGTTAAAATTGGAAGTTCATTGCATTACAAGGTTTACGTTTTATTGAAAACACTGTTTAAATATATAAGAATGTCTCCTTGGCTCTTCGGAAGTGGACAAAAATCAGTGAGGAGGAGATGTGAGTGTGGCCTCATTGCATACGACATTTTCGTACGTTTGTCAGACTACAAAAAAGACCGGTTCATGAATGAAATATATCACCGTTTTTTCAGGTATGGGATCATTTTGAGCAAGATAAAAAGTGCATTAAGCAAAACTGCATATTTATGCATGTTTTTTTAATCAGTGATTATTTCTTATCTTTTCCAGACGAACTTCCGGTAATCTTGAGTCAGTTTACAGACGATGGCCAAACGTCTAAAATATCCTTGTGTTGTGGCCAGCAGGTCACGTAGTTACAAGATATAGCTTGATAAAATGGCTGCGCGGAAATACATAACGCGCGGAAACTGGTGACTAGACGATACTCCTATAACATAAGAGGCCGCTGGTTGGCATTTTTTCTATCGGATATGATTCGTTTTTGCGCCTGTCAAAAGCTTCTCGCCGTGTAAAACCTCTAACATTGTTGAAGTTTAGTGGTGAGCTGTGAACATTTTCATTTTAAACCGTTATTTTTTTGTTACATTGTTTGAAAGTAACATACCGACAAAAGAAAACAGAAACCTTTTTTCTCATTCGGCCAGCAGCTAACCGGTAACGCAGATAATTGAGTTAGAAAATAGTTTTTGCTTCAAAAACTTACTTATTATCAATGCTGCAACTGCAGCTACTGTCACAAGTGCGTTCCTCATCTTTTTAATTGGTAGCATCCCTCGAACTCGAGTCAACATTCCTCATGAAAACATCTCAGCACGGTGCATGATTTTCTTCCCTGTTCTATTTTTGTCGTTGGAACTCTTCTGTGTCTGTGGTAGTACCAAAATCGTCAAGGTACGAAAATTATACCGACAATGACCAACTCTTTATGTTTTTTATCGGTTTTTGTTCATGTTCGTCCATCCGTCTATCAATAACTCTAAAAAAAATAGTCGTAAGCTTCAACATTTCTTAACGTAATTTAATAATGTTATACACAAATATGTATATAGGGTGGTAGCCTGGTAGGTAAATCTTGCTCCTGCTCCTGGACTAAAACCCCGTACCAGGAATTATAAAGATACTTCAATATCTCCTTAATGGGATAATTTATATTTTTTATAAAATTATACAATAATTTCAAACATAATTTTCTAAATGTGGATTTTTTTTATTGTTATCTTATAATTTAGAAATTGACGATAATGTGTATACGCAGTCAAACGTGAAAATCACGGTTTTTCACATATAATTAGATATTTAGAAAAAAAATAACATGTTATTTTCAGGTATATATATAACAAAATACCTCACTGTTTATAATTATGTAAGTTTCGTTGAAACCCCAGACCCTTCATTCCATTTCACCTACAAATAATATTAAAACCCACCAAGGGAAGTAAAGATATGTATACCACACTATTGAATAAACAAAATGCATGTAAAAATACAGCAGAACAAAAATGGAAATCAGATGATAGATTTAGTGCAATTAATTTTAACCAAATATATCAATTACCCTTCCAAACCACAAAAGAAACAAAAACCCAATGGTTCCAATATAAAATCCTGAACCGGATTATTACCACTAATTAATTCATACTTAAAAAAACAATTGGTATTAAAGACTCTGATACTTGTTCACTCTGTAGAGCACACCCTGAAAAAATAGAACACTTATTTTGGAATTGCATCAACACCCAACACTTATGGGAAAATCTTAGAAGATGGATTCATAATAAACTTTGTAAAAATATCGACCTTAATATAAGTACAATTCTATTTGTGGTCACAGGAGATACTAATGAAACAAAACCAACTACCATCATCATTACATACACTAAATACTACATATTCTGTAATTCAAAGAAAACAGGAAATCCCTCAATAAAGGATTGAAAGAATACCCAACTCAAACATTTACATACGAAATGACCTTGTCACAAAAAAACATGCAAATCCAAAATTTCAACAAAACTTGGAATGAATGGAAAAACCTATTTACTTAAGTCCAAAAAACAACACCAAAATGATCAGAAAGCCAAAGCCAAGTGAATGAACCTCAAACAGTTGGTCACCCATATACTACTAATAATTAAATATTGTTGTCTTTTTTATATGTATGTGAAGTCCTTTATACACATTTATATATACATGTGTTTTATACACCTAAAAAGGATATAATGTACACTGTTGAAATGTTTCAACGCCTAAAACATTGACCTCCCTAGATTGTGAGGAGTTACATGTATGTATTTGTTGAGTATAGTACATGTCTATATGTATATGTGAATATAATATAATATGGGTCAAAGAAGTAATACAGACGGTAAAATCCCATATAACACTGGATCCTAATGGAGGTATGTCCGTAGGATATGAATTGCTTAAAATAGTATATGGGGCAAAGAAGTAATTCCAACAGTGTGGACAAGTTTAGGTTGTCAAATTTTCGGAGCGATCCGCTCCTTATCAAGACACAGTGAAACAGAACAGTAACATGTGCATATACATCATATTACAAGAAGATAGAAGTGATCATGTATAGCTCTGTATGCGAGTATATGTATATAAACATGTGTATGTGTAGCAGTGTACAAACGTGTGCACATCCGCATAAATTACAAACAAGTTCTTACAAAGCAAAAAGATATTTTATTGTTTTCCTCTGTTTATATGTCAAATTGTAAACTTGTACAAGTATAACATCTGACAATACCAAATTGTGTACTGTTACTATGATGTATCACAATTCCAATTTGTATACTGTATACATGTACCTATAATGTATTACAATGCCAAATTGTATACTGGATAACCATAACATATATATCACAAAGCCAAATTGTGTACTGTTCAAGTATCATGTATCAAAATGCCAAATTTACTGCATAAGTAAAATATATCACAATTCAAAATGGCATACTGTATAAGTATAACATCTCACAATTCAAAATTGTATAATTTATATCTATAACCTATCACCAGGCCAAATTGTTTACTATATACCTATAACATATCACAAAGCCAAACAATATACTGTAAAAGAAAAAGATCTCACAATGCCAAACTATTTACAGTATAAGAATATAATATCTCAATGTCAAAGTGTATAGTGTATATCTTTAATGACTAATATGTTTACAGCATACAAGCATATCTGCGTGTGTGTATGTGAGCGCATATGCACATGTGTGTGAAGTGCGTGTGTATGTATGTATATATGTGCGTACATCCGTTTGTGCGTGCATGTGGAGATGTGTATGTGTGTATGCATGTAAACTATGTATGTGTGTGGGTGCATATATATGTGCGTGCGTGCGTATGTATGTATGTATGCATGTATGTACAACACGTGTACATGCGTATGAATATGTATATGTTTGACGTGCCTATGTACAGGCATACATGCCTATGTGGGTAGGTATGCATGTATGCATATATGAATGTATGTATGTATGTATGCATGCATGCATGCATGCATGCATGTATGCATGTATGTATGTATGTATGTATGTATGTATGTATGTATGTATGTATGTATGTATTATATGTATATTTATTATGCATGTATGTAAGTATGTATGTTATATATGTATGATAAGTATGAGTGCATGCATGCATGTTTGTGTTTATGTACACATGTAACTGTAATACTATGTATTACGACAAAATGTATATGTTTTTTGTCTATGAAAAATAAAAACAATAAAAAAAAGTTTCATTGAATTAAACGACATATTTCACATGGAATTCTTACTTTGTTGTGTTTTACCTTATTGTAAACATCCTTGTATTCGTATTCAAAACACTGAACTGTCATGTGAAACAACTGTTAAATTGCTTGGCATAGATATTGGGAAGGCATCCCAGCAACCGAATATTCTCAAACGTTTGGGCACTTTTTTGAACAGACTGAGTAAATTAACCATCTTTCATTCATTCATCATTAGTTATTTTTATTTTTGCCCTTTGGCATGGTATTTCTGCACAGAGAAAAAATCTAAAAAAAAAAAAAAAAAGTGCAAGGAAGAGCACTCTGCTTCGTATATGAAGACTTTGCAAGCTCATATGAGAACTTACTTGAAAAGCGAAGATGTCTTCTCTGCAAGTCAGAAGAATGAGAACAATGGCAATTGAAACTTTTAGAATTGTTAATAAGCTGGCACCTGTATGTTTACAAGATTTATTAAAGGTAAAACAATCTAAAAAAAAACCAGGTATGATAATATATTGGACATTTCACATGTAAAGACTACAACTTATGGTAAGAACAGTTTTAAATGGTGCTGCTACATTGTGGAACAGTCTTCCGGACCATTTCAGAACGGACAACAATTGTTCTCATTTCAAGAGTCTTATACAGCCCTGGAATGGTTCGGAATGCCGCTGTTCTGCATGTAGATAAGCATTCAGTTAATTTCAATGTGTATTTTTGTTATTATTGTCCTTTTTTATTGCATATGCTTGCATATAAATTGCTCTGCCATTTTTAGTGCTTGCTTACTTTTATGCGTGCTTTCTCTATTTTTAGTTTGCTTGCATGATTGTGTTTTTTATGTTTTGTATAATTATGCTTGTATGTATTAGGTTAAAAGCTCATTAGAGCTTTTGTTTTGTCGTTTGTAACTACACCCAATTTAAATAAAGCTTTCATATAGTTCCCGTGCTAAGGGGACATCACTCCGTCAAGACCCGTGCTAAATATGCATAATATGAAAAAAGAAAAAAACCTTTAAATACAACTATTTCATTATTTCTTCATTAGATATTGCAGATCTTTCATTAAATTATCTCTAGACATATTATGACAATGAGATTAAGAGAGGGTTAATTGGAACAGGAACTTATAGACTTAAGGCTATTCATAAAAGTGCTCAGCTAGACCCTGATAATGTGGTGTTTGTCACCCTGATGATGTATTAGATTTAGTTAATGGTAAGATCAATGACAAAGACACAGTAACTTCCGGGGAACATATATAGGTCTAAACGAAGAGGTAAGCGATGAAGATGTAGCTAGTTTAGCAAATGGTATAGCGTCCGAGAATCAACAAGTAAGTAAACAAACTGCACAAAGGTCTTTAGCAGTTGCCGCTCTTAAGGATAACAAGGTAACCCATGTTCCATCTGCCAGGACATTTATAGTTGAAGGGTCACAGGGAGATAGGTACGCAGTTCAGTTACATTCTAAAGACCATGTGATAAAGAGGAGAAAGATATAGTCCCAGCACCAGACAATAAGTTAACTAAGTTAGGTAAATCAAATATAATTTGTTCAACTCCAAGTGCTACATTGGCTTCTCCAGTGAAATTAGAGTCAGTTCCTCTCCACGATATTTCTGATATTGGTACTCAAAGAAAACCAAAACCTAGGTCTAGTCTTTCTTTAACTCGTAAGATATTGTCAAATATAATAGAAGACATACAATGTAGTGATGGTGTAAGTATATCTGAACCAGTTGTAAGTACCAGTTATAAGGTAAAACAAACAAGAAGACTTTCATTACCAAAAAAGAACAAACCGAAGGTACGTGATATTTTAGTGAATCTTTCAGATGACAGACCGTCGCTTATTAAGCCCGCAGAAACAAGACGTATCTGGATGGATAACGGTACTCTAAGTTTTAATGATCAAAATGATATATTAATTGATAACAATAGCATATGTTACGTATAAGATAATTTAAAGAAACAGTTTCCTTATATAGGCGGAATGCAAGAAACAGGTTATGCTCCAATTTTGAAAAACAATAAGTGGGACTATGCACTCAGAATGAAACCAACTAGCGCCGCATCAGCACAAATTCATCAT